GGGTTAGTTTGGTCAGCCAAATACGTGACATACTTATATCCAATCGAGCTTTCAAGCTTCATTTTAAATATCCACCTTTGCAAAGCGTTGATGTGAGTGCAACACGACCTGCAGTATTTTTGGGGGTCCATCATTTTTTTCGGTTGTGACCACGTAATACAGAGTTTACGATAATTTTCACCACAATGGACTACTTTATCTGTAATTGATTTGCCATAAATCCGCTTGACATTGTTCTGCTTCCTTGCAGAACAATGTAATGTAATGTAATGCTATCCTTAGGTAATTTTTATCCTGACAAAATTTCTGTTTATCCACTACCATGAAATTTCTTGGGAAAATCGAATTTTGTTGAATTTTTTATCCAAGATTCCCTCCTTTCTAAGATCCATATCTCAAGGGTATGCTGTTCATGATTTGAACATACATATGCATATATCTTCGATCCCCACATGATAAAAATTTCAAAGCAAAACAGTAATTGATTGATTTATTGATAGTCATTTTCCCTTGATCAGTGCAATTTCATGACTGCTTTATTTTAAGGAACACTAAAAAACAGATTTAGTAAAGAATTTGAATTGACTATGTACATACAAGAACAAGCTAATCTTGCAATTTACTCATAATTCAATCATAATTATTTTTACGCTTTTTCATAACAAACTCCATGATACGACTTTGACATACGTTTCATGATATTAACATACAAAATTTCTTGTAAAATTCCAGTGTTTAAAGTATTCCAGATTAAAATTTAGTAATGACGCACAGAGTTCGTAAACATGGCAGACTATGTATATGCATTTTCTGAATTTCCAGTTCTGCGTCCCATTTCTTCGTTTCAATCAACAGTTAAAGCAATCGGAATCCATAAGTACAGCTGATTTGCCTCTAACGCTAGCCAAATAAGGATGTGGCCGCGTTAAATCAACAACCTTTGTAATTATGAAGAACCTTTGCAAGTCTTTTATAATTTTTTTCTTTGCACCATATAATATATCTACACACTTTCGCACCAATCCGTCTCAAAATATCCCCAATTTCTACAATAAACTTAACCAGTGCAGTAATTAAGAATATTACACATAGAATAAAAACAGCCTTCACTGACGCAACTGACACCGGCCTAGCTTCCTGTAGTGGATCCCCTGCAGTCTTCTTTCTCGAAAAATAGAACCTGTATCTACGATTCTTTTGAAGATTAAGTTGCACCCCTATCATTTTCCTAGCTGCTAATTTTCCCCACCTTTCGTCTACACCCATGGCCTCCAAGTGGGACAGCGATCTGCGGAATATTGGTGAAAGAAAGTTGCTGTGCAAGGTATCAATGGTAAGATAACTGAACGGCGTATTTTCCCTTTGTCCATTAATGACAAGGCGTCCCCCAGCAACCTTTATTACTTCAGTAATGAACTCTACCTCTTTTGTATCGTCCATTACAGCAAATGTATCCTCCACAGGAAAACTAATGTTGGAGTATATGAATGACTTTGATTGGACAACGTGGGACAGAAATTTCTGCATAGATTTAAAATCCTTAACAATTCCGATAAATTTAAGTCGATCAATTAATCTTAAACACAACTTTTCTAGTCCTTGATTGCTGTCTAGGTTATGCACGAATGATGGTATTAGATTCATTTTCAGCAATGATTGTTCCACATTTACCGCAACCCTGACCCTGGTACTCGTAATAATTGGTGTGTTGTAATCGACAAGTTCGCTCAGAGAAGTTGGAACTGCGGGTTCCTTGGTGGCGGTTAGGTATGAAAAAATCTCTCCTGTGTACAAATTGTTCGTAATTATGTTGCATCCTGCTAAGAACCACACTGTTAGTACCGGCACTGCCACAGTGTTTCGGCCACGAAATAGTTTGAAGCTGTCGCCATTAGTTTGACTCAGAAGGATGGCGGTGACCATGAGAAAATCATCAATGATGGCCCATGCAACCTTCCCTTTCTTGCTAAGTAGTTGGATGAACCAAGTTACACTGATGCAAAATAAAAGTAGTGTAACCCAAACTGGCGCCTCAAAGGGTAACAGGAAGGCATACATTCCTTGAAATTCTGACCGATAATGTGTCACAATGGCAAATTTTACGGGCCTACATACCAATTTAAAGACGTCAATGTATTCCATTCTGTCATGACCTATGAAATCTTCAAAAATACCTCTTAGGTTAATACTTGAGATCGCATTGTCCGCTTGAGAAGGGTCTACGATTGAAAAATTGTGGATTCTTGATAAAAATAATATTCTACATAGTTCCGGTATCGTGTTTTTTTCCAAACTAGATACAGTTATAGCACAATCAAGTTCAGCCAAGTTATGTAAGAGTGGATCTACTACGCTAACATCCCTCATGAGCAAGTTTCTATTTAAAGAATTCCACACGGCTTCGAGGTTCGACAGTGAGAAATCTTTAGTGATTATTGAAGCAAGTGGGGGCACTAGCGAGGACGGAATAAATGGCGTTAGGACGACTTGAGGTGTGTTAAAATTAAACAGGATAACTTTTGAAGTTCCAGAATGGGCGTAATAGCCCCAGTAATTTAGTGGATTCGAAGGATCGTCAGAATGTTGAAATAAGTACTGTGGGTTGAAACATTTCAATAGGATTTTTTGCAAAACAAAATGTGCCGGTAAACGACCATACGTTTCGCCGAGTAGAGCACCGCTTAAGTGCAGAAATGTCGCTAACTGTTTTTGTGATCGGGCAAAAAGACCGAGCCCAGTGAAACCGTAGATTTTGGAACGACTCAGAAAAAAATGATTGAATTGGATTGTAGAATATGGATTATTGCTAAGAATCGGATGAAAATATGGTGGCTCCTGGTCAATTTTTCCAGTCGAGTTTTTGTCGTACCGTACAACAAATTGGATAGAATTGTCGAAAAATAAATTTGGAATTGTCCACAAGCTGGGAGTCGCAGAACAGAAATGGAAAATGAGAAGAAACTCAAGAAGTATTTTAAATATGAGAATCATGACGTCCGACTTAATTTTAGAGCGATTCTATCAAGGTCAACGCTACTATCTACTGAATAGAGAAACAAGTATGTAAACTTAAAATAAATTAGAAAATAATGTTGTGACTTGGAACTGGGAAGAAAATAGCAGAATTTTGGGCAAATGTATATCCGTTATTTGACAATGCTTAATACAGTTTAGTGCTGAATACATGAACTACGTCAACGTTTTAGAAAGTCTTGTATAACCTAACATAATCAATATTTATTAGATATTGGTCGATACAAATATGTCGATTCGTAGCTTCTTAGAGTTGTTTTTAACTATGGGTGAAGAACTAGAAAGCTGATATTTTAGCATTGCCGGATGTACTTAACGATTCCATGCATTTTGATTAGCTCCAGAAATGACCAGTCTAATACGTTACACTGTTAAAAAACTGGTAATAAATAATTTCGTATACGAGACTACCGGCATATGTAATGATGCGAATTACCCAATAGGAGTTTTGTGGAAATGAAAAATTTACCATTCATAAAGTTTACCGATGGTAGCCACTGGTTGCTAGATTTTTATAGTATAAGGTGTGCCTCATCTTTCGAATTGCAAGTATCGGAATTGTTACTCATTGTATGTATGTAGTCTTGATACATGTGCTAATTAACCGATCTATGAATTTAGATCAATACATAATTTCCTTCACAATTAAAACTAGGTTTATTTACATAACAAAAAAAGCATGATTTACTAATTAGGGCTGAAATACAGTCGAATATTAAGATTCAATAACTAATAACGATTAATTTTCAATAACTCATACTTTGCATACTTACATTATATAACTAATTAAAATTTCGCCTTGCTAGTTCCTGTAAAATTAGAACCGTACAAAACAACAATAATCTTATTGAGTAGAAACTCCCAGAACGACTCCGGTAAAATATTCTCCCGATCAGTAGTACGAGAAATATTTCTTGTATAACATATGAAAATTAGTGGGCAACATATTATATAATTTTAATACTAATTATCCATCGATGCCACTATCATTAATGTTTTATTCACCTTCAATATCAAAATTTACTTGGGTAAAATATTTCGCCATGGAAAAAACAAACGAACATTACTAAAAGTATTTTGGTCGAGACACTATACTTAAAGCCATTTTTACATGCATTGCTTATGTAAAAATAGCGTGTTCGGTGGGCATTATGTTTAACGAAAAGTACTTGAATTGTTACTAATTCTGTGTTAAGTTTATCCATGTTCAAATTAACTGATCTACATATACATCTAGATTAATACATATGTAATCACCTTTACACTTAAAACTAGGCTTATTTACATAACGAGAAAAGCATGAATTACTGAAAAGGGTTGGACAGAAGGACATTAAAAATTTGTACTTTGCATACACGCTAAAAACACCCGACGGTAGTTAAGTACGGATGTACCAAAAATCGCATTGCGAACGATCCGTACCTAACACTCACAATGCGATGGTATAAAGTGTAACCCTCTGATTTGGTTGAAATTTTGAAATTATATTGTACATGTCAATACAACCAACGTTTCTTCAGACAGTTTGTGCGATGGTCAAAATTTGCCAAAATATTTCAAGTCAAAGTTGAAAAACGGGCGATTTTTACTAAACGGAGGAAGCAAACTCAACTTCAGTTCTCTTTCCGTGTGAAAAATCGCTTATTTTTCAACTTTGTCCGTAAATAATTTGCCAAATTTTGACCACCGCACAAACTGCCTGAACGAACGTTGGTTGTATTGACATGGACCACATAATTTCGAAATTTCAACCAAATCGGAGGGTTACACTTCACACCATCGCATTGTCCGTACAATTGCACTCGTTTGAAGTGTGATTGCACTTCGATGAAGATGTCCACCACATTTTTGTACGGAGTTTCAAACTTGAAAAATTACAGCATCCTGTCCATATAAAAATTTTGTCATTGTAGCCAGACTTATGTTACATAGTACGTATAAATCTCAGGAAAATTTAACACCAACAATCAATCATATCACAATTTTATTAAGTATGTATTTATTTCCTAAAAAACATGTCTACAATTTAACGAATTATTAATATGAATCTGATCATCAATTTGGGTAAAGAAATACTTTTTTTAATCTATATAATTTTTAAGACACGTGGTCGTAATTTGTTTGCACTAATTTAAGGTCTTTAATAAGTATCTTGAAATTTTCAAATTGATGCCAGCACTTAAAGTTGGCAAAGGAGCCGCTTCTTCTCGGAGCATGGTTTCTCGAACCATTTATAGTTTCCCTTGCAGAGGTTGGGATCACAGCCGGGTAACTTGATCCGCTCGATGGAGACACATTGGCAGTTGGGATTGGGAAATGGTGCAACTTTTTCGAAATCCTCATAAGTAAAGGGAATATTTCTGGTTTGCGTTCGCCAAAAGAAGGCCCCATTCGTGACAAAATCTTGTCCACTGGTCCAAGCGTTGGGTATGTCTGTAGCAGAAAAAGTATATCAAAATATTTACCTGGATACAATTTCTAGTTGGTAAATTGCATAATATTTCTTCATATTATAGCAATTCACGTAGGTAACTTGTTGAATTCGTAGATTTTGCATCGTAATTTTGGAAACTTTTACAAATTAAAGAGAGTCCATTGATCTGAACAAGTCTACAAAAGTTTGTAAGCTAAATTTTTTAGAAATATTGTGCAATTTTGTAAAAGTTTGCAAAATTTAAGGATTTTACGATGTTACTAAGGAATTCGTGAATTTCCTTCAGATTGGGTGATTTGAGAACCACAAGGGCAAGAGTTTAAGACTAGTACTCAGGGCCGATTTTTCAAGCGAAAAACTTTATCAAAAACGCGAATAAAATTTTAGAAACGTAAGTGGAGTGACATAATTTAAGAAACTTAAGTAACATAATTTAAGAAACTTTAGTAACATTTTGTAATTGATTTGAAATACCTGTGGTTTACGCAAAAAAAAACCTCCTGCGCACGAGGCTTTACGACTTATAAATTTTTTGACATAAACCCTGAAATATTTTCAAAAAAATCTTGCATACCTTGCGAATCCAGGAAACTTTTGGCAGCCACGTTGATCTCCGGAGTAAGTAGTGCAGCCGCTTTTGCTCCAGTACCCAAACTTTCACAGATTTTGTTGGCATTGTCGGCAACCAACTAATTCAAGAAGGGTTAAGAATTTTGAGTAATGTTTCCATTCAAATCGTAAATAACATATTTGCTTTAACCTCTCTGCTCGTGGTGAACCAATAAATCTCTTCGATCCTTCCATTTGACCCAGTCGTGGAAAAGTTTCCGAGTGGGATGAATTCTAAACGGGGAAAGAATTATACATGATAACAATTATAAGGTTTAAACATTACATTGCCCTTTTGCAAAGTAAATACACCTTATATTCTAAATTACATAAGTAAGCTACGCAAAATCCAGAAAAACTTCACTTTTTATAAAATTCACATTACTCTTGAATTTTGTTATTTAATGTACCGTAAAAACTCGAATAGCAGCCGGGGCTTACTATTTATCAAATCGGTCGCTGGGACTTATTTGGCCAGGGCTACAATAAATGCAGGGCTACTATTTGGGCAAAGTTACTATGAATAGTAACTTTGCAAATTTGCAAAATCAAGGGTAGTATTTGAAAACGTCTGCCATTTTACTTTTTACGGTAAGTTGATTTACTGCAAAATTCAAGGTGTATTTACTGCTTAAAAAGGCAACACAAATTTTAAGGGTGTGGTTTTAATTTCATGATTCACATTTATCTTATTAATTTACCTAGTTCCCCAAATTCTACCGAGTTAACTTTAATGACATCGGAACCTGAGGCAATTCCAACCAAACCAACTACGACCAGAAATACAAAGGACAAACTCATCCTTTCTTCTTCGATAATTTTAATGAAAAACCCCAAATCTCGAAAGAAAACCGTAGATATTTAAGTGAACACGATTTTTTAACGACTGCGACCCACAGCTCCGATTTACGAGCTTTTAGTCCCACCTGACAAGGGAATCGTGACCCAAATCCTCGATTTGTGACCTCGATTTTCTCATTGTCCACACACACGTATTTATCAACCGGACGCGCTGGCCTACAAACAGCCAGATTGAATTCAAAAATTTCCAAGTAATCATTTCGTGTCGAGGCAAAGATAAATGTTTTCCAAGAAATTTGTAGTAATTTATTTCCTGAACAATGAAACAAGGTCGCGAAGCCAAATGATAATTCGGCAAGCGTAACCACATTTGACCCAAATTTTGCACGGATTATAATAAACAGATTACATACTACATAAATATCAATGGTCATTTGCTTATACATACGGTTATGCTCACAGACTTGAGCTGTATTACCAGAACAGATACCTAAATAACAGGCTGGCATTGTTGTTTTTTATTTATTCTCAAAAAATTAACCAACACACTTTTTTTGTCTTGTTCTGTTTCGAAATTTTTGGTTTATCGCCGAGTAACTCAACTAAACACTTTTTTGTCATGTTTTTGTTTTATGTTGTAAAATTTTGTTTGTCTTGATGAAATTTTCAGCCCTTGGTAATAAACAGACTGATAAGAGATAAAGTGATGGTAAATATAACGGATAAATAACATAGATATTTGCCCTGTGCTGATAAACCAAAATGGTGCATTAGTCAGCCACGCTGTGTATAACATTACACTCTAAATATTTAAATTTGATTAAAATTTACTCAACGTTGAGTAAAATTTAGTGTGTAAATTTCACCACATGAAAGTTCAAACCTAAAATATGTGTAACCCACGTTGCAGAATTTTGCGCTCAACCTTGAGTAAATTTTACCTTCGTTGTGTAAATTTAGATAACAAAGACAGTTGTGCCATCGCAAATTTTGCTTCACTTTATTTAGAGTGTACTGATGGTTATGTGGTGTTTAATCAACACGTTTTTTAGTCTCGACCCGGCTCCCTTTGTCGGTTAAGATCACTCATTTTAATTATTTCCATTAAGCAAACATAACCGTCCCGATGATGTAGTTTTGGGATCTAACCGTATTTAAGCATGGTTTTGAAACCAGATGATGCATAATTTTCTTTGAAATTTTGCCATTAATAGAACGAAAACATGTCCTAATAAACCGTAGTAACGTTAGAAGTAGCTCACCCTGTCATAATGATTTCCATATAACTTTCCACCAAAGGTACGGAATAAGGCGACAAAATAGATTATAACTCTCATAGATTATTGCACCAATGGTGTAATATGAACGGAAAAATAAAAAGAAAAACGAAAATAGTTTGCACCACTAGTGGAACATTAGCGACCAACGGGATACATAATTTTGAAAACTTTGACAAAATTGTATGGTTCCTTATCCCGACATTCTGCATCATTGGTGGGTAAGGCATCCCTTACCCAATTATTTATTATAAAATTTATATATTTTAACGTCAATGATGCAGAAAAATCGAACAAATAGAACAGATTTTTGGGGGGGGAAATAGATGGCCCAATTGTTACGCCTCATTGATTTTTGGGGGTAAATAAAGGGCCCAATTGTTACGCATCATTTTTAATAACCAATTGCTCGGTACTAATGGTGCTACTTATTCCATAATTACAGTCCTATCTCGATGTACCTGCACAATTAATTCGCACCATTTACGCCACGGATTATTCGATACCAATGGTGCGCCGAACTTATGCAATAATGTTCAAGGGGATTTTTAATTAGCATCAACTGATGCAAAAAACTCGTTAACAGACGGACAGACAGACAGACGGACAAGAGGAATTCAATAGCTCTAATGCTACGCAGGGTGAGCTAATAAACCGTAGTAACGTTAGAAGTAGCTCACCCTGCAATAATTATTTGGTTATATCTTGCCCCAAAGGTGCAGAAAAATGCAACAACATAGATACATAATTTTTATGCAATATTGCACCAATGGTGCAGAAAAATTATACAAATGGATACATAATTTTTATGCAATATTGCACCAATAGTGCAGAAAAATCCAACAAAATAGATCAATAAATATTATGCATCGAGGAAAGTTCAAAAATTGTGCATCACTGGTGCATAATTACCTACCAACGCTCATCGATAATTTTGAAAAATTTATGTCAAAATTGTCTAATAACATCCGCCGAGTAGTATGCATTATTGGTGCGTTTTGCATCCCTTCCCCAATTATTTCGCATCCTTTTGTGTTACCGATTGTTAGATATCAACGGTGCTATTAATTTATTAAAAAATTCGATTCGGTTTGTTCAATACCAATGGTGCGCCGAACTTATGCAATAATGGTCAAGGGGATTTTTAAATAGCATCAATTGATGCAAAAAACTCGTTAACAGACGGACAGACAGACAGACGGACAGACGGACAAGAGGAATTCAATAGCTCTCATGCTACGCAGGGTGAGCTAATAATGAGCACCGATTCACTTTCATCCACGTGACTGATTATGATAGAGAATAAGAGTGAGTGAAAATGAATTTCTAATGAGTTTAATGAAAATGAGTGAAAGATTCTATCATTTCATCATGAACGAAAGGACTTCTCACTCCTTCCAGTTTTCACACTATGCTTAATACATGCATGTGGCTAATTAAGAAATGAAGTGAGTTTGAAAGAAAATCTTCAGTCAGAAACCTGGATGACTGACTTTGGAACGAAAACTAAATTTGTGAACAGTATGATCACAAGCATCTTACCAGAATAACTCAAGTTTTCATCGTTTTTGAATTACAGGTTCTAAAATACCTTTGGAAAAAGTCGGGACGAATTAAATCAACACCCTATACGTTTATTAATTTAGATGGCGAAACAAATTTCTGAACTTATATTTCCGACATTTTTTGTTGTGGATCAATAGAGTGTTTTCTCAGGATTTTGGGTGATACATACATGGTCATACAACACACATACTAAAAAAACATTATGTAGTACATTCAAATTTCTCGGAATCAACTACCAGTGGACATGTGCGCGTCGGTAGTGCTGACAAAGATTGATGTACATTAAACGCACGTCAACACAACACAATCAGACCATAGATATTACCCAATTAATTGATTATTCAAATATTCCAACTCACGACGTTTTTCGCAATTTGAGAAAGACTATCTGATACAATCATACGCGGTAGAATAAACTGTAATTTCCCAGTGCGATACATATTATTCTTTCACATGCGTCAATGTTCAAGTGATACTTGAATAAAATCGCAAAATCATGTATGTAATACTTATCACTAGATCAGTCTCTGCCAATTTTCATGTTCTCATTATGAAAGTCTTCCAACGTATGCGAACAGATTTTTAGCAAAATAGTGTCAATCAATTTTCAAATTAAATTATGTTGTATGCAATTTTTGTAAGCCACTATCTGCCCGTTTCGAGGAGGTATTTGCATTTGAGGATAAGAAAATTCGCCCTAATGTTGACTTATTTTGAACTTTCCATATTTACTGTTAGTTTTTTCTTCTTCCGGTGCAAACTTCCCTGCCAAACGTGCCCATTGAGAGATCGTGTCTTATAAAAATTTGATACCAATTAAATATGTGATCGATTGACACTGAATGTGTCCAAATCTATGCGCATACGTTGGGAGATCTCCATCGTTAAATAGTGTTGAGGTACGAACGGAATTTTCCAATTAAACCGTACAACTTCCCTGATCACGCACATCCAATGTCATGACTAAGGAGTAGAAGGTCACTACTTGTCGGGCCCCGATTTCGATCTCCTTTGGATATGTTGTAGCACTACATGAGTGTAGAAAAAGTGAAGGAGGGTTAGACTCCATGAGCCCATTTACGCCCGCCACACCCCCTCAAAGGCGCCCAAACCCCCAGAGTTGCCGCACTAAAATCATCCCCAAAAATCGAGTTTTGCTCAGATTTTCAAGAAATTTACATTTTTGTGATCCCAGATAGTTGCTCTATTATATCCAATAGCAAACTCGTTTGTTTTGAATTTTCGAATTTTTTCAATACATACCCTTGGTCAGAAAATCTTCGAAAATATTGACAATATCAAAAAAGTTGAGTTTGCTATTGGATATGATAGAACAACTATCTGGGATCACAAAAATGTAAATTTCTTGAAAATCTGAGCAAAACTCGATTTTTGGGGATGATTTTAGTGCGGCAACTCTAGGGGTTTGGGCGCCTTTGAGGGGGTGTGGCGGGCGTAAATGGGCTCATGGAGTCTAACCCTCCTTCACTTTTTCTACACTCATGTAGTGCTACAACATATCCAAAGGAGATCGAAATCGGGGCCCGACAAGTAGTGACCTTCTACTCCTAAATTAATGACCAATTAACAGATAAAAATCTCGTATAAATTCAAACGCGCCGTCATACTACAGACAAATCTGCATTCATTGAATGAATTTCATTCCTTCAACAATTGAGACTTTTTCAAATCCAGACATTTACTTCATTGCAAAATGAATTATTACATCGCGTTAATCGCTATCATTTCCGTGCTAGGAGTTGAATTCCCAATTGGTGATTATTTATATGAAAATTATTTTCTAATTAATAATCATATTTAGCTATTCAAAAAATATTCCCTCGTTTAGCATTCATGCAATTTTAGAACTGAAAAAAAATTGTTCATTAATTAAAAATTGTTTCATTATTAATGGGTGAAAGCACTTAAGATCATTATGTCCGTCAGTCCGTCTGTCTGTCCGTCTGTCCGTCTGTCCGTAACTCCGATAACTTTTGAACGGAAATACAATTGGGTTTTCCAAATACTTTATAGGCATTTAAATAATTCGAAATTTACCCCGGTATTTCTCGGTTATCTTGTGGGTACCAGAACGTAGCAAATTGGGTGTCTGTTTGTACACTGTTCTGGCTACAAAATAGTGCACGATCAGCAACTGGGCTATGTTCCGTTCTCGAGAAAAAAAATCCAGAAAATCGGGTTTTCCAAATACTTTATAGGCATTGAAATATTTCGAAATTTACCCGGGTAATTCTCAGTTATCATG